TAGATAGGAACGTGGGAAAAGGCATATTTCAAGGAGACTGTGGTGTCCTCTCATGATCTGCGGCCTGCTGTGAGTATTTGTGAGGTGTTTTCCCCAAAGGGAAGACTTTTTTAATCTTAATTAAATTGAATTATATTAGTGAGAGATTAAGTCCTGGCAAACAAAGTTTCTCTTCCACTCCTGGTATCTTTAAACCTGCTTTCCAGTATCCATTCTGGTGGCAGGTAGTTCTGTCGTTTAACAATGTGTGAAAGACTTTTCCCTTTCGCAGTTTAAATATGCTGTCTTTCCCACTTTTAAGCATTCCTGTAAACCAGGTACCTACTGATGTTCATAACGGAGCAGAACAGAACAGAAGGCAGCGAACACGGCAAGGATCCCAGCCCCATTATGTAATCTGCCAGGCCGGATCCAAAGGCTGGGATGAAAGCCAGAGGAACAAATTCGGCAGTGAGGTAACCACACCTCCAGTGAAATCAAGGGGAAGCAGAAAGGTCAGCTTATTATGGCTGGGATTTTGTGGTTTTCACAACTGAGTGTTTTCATAATGCCATTCATGTATGTGCTCAGAAAAATCTGCGTCTCAGTAATGAGGGAGAATCCCAAACAGACAGAAAAATGCAGTTTGGCTTGAATTTTGCGCTGAAGGAATCTGGTAACACAGATCCCTGTGCAGTGTTGTGAACAGAGTGATTAGCTTCACTAGTTAGAGTGAAGTAGTGAAATATTTATTAAGGTGAAACTGATTTAACAAAATCAGTAGTAAGTGTGATAAAACCAGTAGTAAATGTGATAGTGTTTTACGAGATTTGATGTCAAGATACACTCTATTATTTACAGCATAGAGGACATGGTCAAACAAGCTGTCAGGGAGACCCTCCCATTGAGTCACAAGGTTCAGAAAGGACCCCCTTGCTTTCTAAACTCCTTCTCAGAGAGGAGTCCAGGTGCGACTGGATCCAGTCCTAGTCCCAGACTTGGTCGACAGTTTATGTCTAAAGGATTATATATGTGCAGTCAATTCTTTACATTACTGAGCTAAGATTTCAAAGTTTAGCATGCTGTTAGTCACTTACTGAGAATCTGTTGCAGCAAGGAATCTCTCAACCTCGAGGAGTAGAACCTTAAGCAAGTGTCCTCACAGAGGGTTAGATCCTGTCGTGCAGCCCGCTGCCAAACAGGAGAGCTTAAAGGGCTCTTGGGCTGTCCACTATTTATACAGTAAGATAATTGACCTATAGTCATATTCTCATGGGAACAAAATTTCTAGGTCCCCACTCCAGACAGTATTTTGACTATGTTGCCAGCCATTCCCCAAAATCCAGGTGCAAGTTATCACAACTGATGATGTGATGGCCATGGTGGAGCTGGGGGGGGGCAAAACAGGGAGAGCGCATTGCCACATGGAGTCAGTAGGCCAGCTGGTAAACCTCATTCTTAACACTGCTGCACCTTGAAGCTCTTCATCCATAAGATACAGAGCTGAAATTTGTACTCCATGTCTTAATATTAATCAAACATGACTTCAGTTGCAGTGACATTTCAGAAGTTTGCTCCCTTGCAGAATGGCACATTTAAGGGATGGTTTCACATCTTATCTGGCACTTCCCTGTGACTTGGATCCTCTCCCCAGGGTGAGTATTTTATTTCTTAAGAGACTATTTACGCATTGCCCCACTACTCAGGGACCCATGCCCAAACACATCCTCCCTACAGATGAGTTCACATCTGTTACAAAACAGGAGGGATGCAATGGAACCACCCAAAGGAGAATCACACTGGCTTGAAAGGCTGACAGACCTGGGTTTGTTTACCCTTGGGAAGACTGGGAGGGGATCTCATCAATGCTTATAAATATCTAAAAGGTAGGTGTCAAGAGGCTGGGGACAGACTTTTTTCAGTGGTGTCCAGAAAAAGGACAAGGGGCAAGAGGCACAAACTGGAACACAGAAAATTCCATCTGAACATGAAGAAAAACTTCCTTACTTTGAGGGTGCCAGAGCACTGGAACAGGCTGCCCAGAGAGGCTGTGGGGTCTTCTCTGGTTTTTGAAAACCCACCTGGATGTGTTCCTGTCCAGCCTACTCTGGGTGACCCTGCTTTGGCAGGGGGCTTGGACTAGATGATCTCTGAAGGTCCCTTCCAACCCCTACTGTGCTGTGATTCTCTGGTGCTGGGGTGAACAGGGTGACAAAAGGTGCTTGGGCAGGGTGCTGGTGTAGTTGCCAAACAGCTTCTGAAGCATTACCATGTATCATCTCGTACTGGAGCTCACCTGGCACCAATTGGTTGGGACACCAGGGCTTGCAGGTGTCGCCATGGGGGGCTGCTCGCTGTGTGCTCACTCACCAGGCAGTTACAGCTCTGCTGCTTCTCTCCTTGCACTTCTGGCGTGGTTCATTCCTGACATCTCCCTTGAAGCAATGTGTGCTGGGAATATAAAAAAGCTGCAAAGCCTGACTTGGGGCCACAGAAGGCATTGCTCAGTGCCTGGTGTGTGTTAGCACTGCCCAGCGGGAATGGGCTGTAGGTGACAGCTGAGCTACGTTCTCACAGTTGGTGCCTGCCCCTGGACACTGTAGCATAAAAGCAGCCAGAAGTACTGTGCTTGCGATGGTGGCCTAACTGCAGTACTCCTGGGTCTGGTCTGCTGAGTCTAAAGGTGTCTGGTCTGCTGACACCCCAGTAGCAGTCAGAGGAGAAGGTGTCCCCTTGAGGGGGTGCCACTTGCTGTGCTGTGGAGGGGCCACCAGGAGCTCAGCTCTGCAGGTCAGGGGCAAGGCACTCACCTGAGCTGCCAGGGTCATCTCACACTTTTCTCC